TGTATACCACCTTCGCATATATTGTGCTACAATGCAGCACCTTTCTTTTGAAAGATAAATATTGCTTTACAGCAAGGCATTAAGCGATTACACCGTGTAGCTTATAGAAAATAAGTTTGTGACAAGTTCTGCTTTTTAGCACAATGTGTAGATTGGGAATATGACAATATGACTGCACTAAGGTCGTGGTAGTTATTGAATAGAAACTAGCATTACAATTGGCGTGAGGGTTAAAGTACACCCAGCCAATAAAAGGATGAATAGTTTCACTTCTTCTTGGGAAATGACATGAAGCACATGTTGGGCTTCAAACTGAACTCACAGTTTTTTTGCAAAGTTCTGCGAAAAATTCACAAACCAATAATGAATAACAGAACCCCCGAGATGGTCTACCGCCTCATCGTAGCGCGGGAATGACTCTGGATCTTGAACTGCGAAGTATAGCGTAGGTTTGTCCTCCAGCAGGGTCTCCCAAGCTGAGAAGGAGTTCGACTTTTTCGACTCCCCGGATGCCCGACCTAGAGTAAGCCATGCCAGAAGCACCACCATCTGATTCATTCGTTAGGTGGCTCCCTGATCCAAATAAGGTCAGCGATTGCGGTGAGATCTTGGCAAGGCGCTGGCAAGGCTGCTAATTTTTGGGGAGAAGTTCGTCGTGGGTGACTAATGCGAAGATCGGGATGCCAGAAGAAGGGGAGCACAGGATCGGAAGACTTGGATCAGGACTCCGGAATGGGAATGTTAACCGTTTTGTTGGGCCTTTCTTCGCCACATGACTTTTTCATGGCAACTCCATCTTTATGATGAAAGAACACGGCGGTGGACATGAGAATCAACCAACGGTACGAATTATGCAGAGATCGACCACATTTTCACCAACCAAAGGTGATGCTTACTAACGTCTCAGTGGTATCATCCTTCAGTAGTGGCTCAGATCATCGCCTCCTTCGAGCAAAAGTGCGTTTCAGCCGAAAGCTAGAAAAGAAGACCTGCCACCGTGTTGGAGGAAGGAGAGAAGCCGTATATATGACGGCGTCAGACTGGAGGAGCTCTTGACCACTTGTGACTGGCATCGAATAGGACGCGAAAGGCTACGACCTGCTTCTTAGAGGATTAAAAGCCTGTGGTGAAAGTGCCCCAATGCCTCGCACAAGGAGCTTGAAATGAATTTTGCAAGACCTCAAATCAGCTCAACCATTCGCTTCCTTCGACTCTTACTTTATTTTCCTAATGCATCCAATTAATGCGATACATTATAGACATTACATAACATGAAGTGTTTTGCGGTGTCTGTTCTCCTTATAATGTTCTGCATTGGAGCCATAGAGCATCCAATGAACCAAGAAAAAGAAGTTGAAAATGTAGATATCCTTTGAAAAGGAAGAAACAAGAGACAACAAACAAGTGTTGGAAATTTGAGCTATTTTTAGGAAAAGAAGGAAGCCACTTAAAAGCTGTAATAAATATGCTGTTTTCGGTTCTGTAGAGGCGTCAAACACTAAAGTCCAAATAAGCTCTCGTATGCATGTTAAAAGTGCCATGACTAACGATTAATGACACATGGCTCTATTGTAAAATTCTCTTACTGCCATCCTTATTTTTGTTAGCATTTATGAAGGAATTTGTAGCTTTAAAGTGATGGCTCGGCTCAAACGTGCGCTGACAATTGCAACGAAGGGTTAGTAAGAATTTGTTGAAAAGATAGGACTTATCATTTATTCACTTATGTTATAAGTACTATGTGACATTCAGCAGGTGAAATGTGAAAACTCAATTCCAGAAATTTGCGCAAAGCAATTTGAATAAATTAGGAAAATAAGTTAAAGCTTATCAATTAAAATACTACCAAAGGGGAAACAGAGTTGCACTGAAAAAACTGGCGACTTGATTGGGATTCAGATCAAAACGTTGTTTTTTGGACAACGGAAGACGTCGATACTTACTAAACTTCAAATAAACGTTTTTTTACATTTATATAGGGTTTAAAGCCAAATACTCTCTGTATTGGAAGGTTAAAAGCGTAGGGGTTCCTAAGAAATAAAGAAAAACTTGATTCACCTCTTCCCCTGCTTTTGCAATTTTATTCGGTTGGTTGCTCCTCATCCTGATTGATCCTTATTAAAACCCGTTACTGGTAAGGCTTGTATTGGCGAAGGTCTGAGGCTGGATTGGGAAAACCTTGGTTTAGCCTGTAGTGCTGTTTACAGCCATCATTTATCAAAGTCGGATGATCGTGGCTGTCGAGATTGTAAAATATGATAAAGGTTAGGTTGGTAGAAATTTGTGATTTGTCGACAGCTGCTCTCTCGTGCCCACTGTATATATCTATGGATTGGTAAGAGAAACAAATTTATTTCGTCAAAAATTTTCTAAACAGATCATTTGCGATACCCTGTACATCTTACCATCAACAGCTTAATGTGAGCTTAGGTTCTTTCATTACATATCAGTTAATAAGATCGGAGAACTGATAATTATGCTCCAAGTCCAACGAAGACGGATAAGGTAACGGCAATAGTTGCCGTTATTGTAACGCCGAAGAAGACAATGAGTTGTCGAATTCGTTGCATCTAAACAGAGCAACAATTAAAGGAAATTTATTTGAGTTAAAAAGGCAGTTTTGTAAAATTTGCATGCTTTTTCTTTATTACAGAAATATTCCATAAACATACAAATCTATCGATTTTGATTATAGAATTTCAAATTTCAATAGAGTGTTATTCTCAAAGAGTAGTCCTAATTGAATTATGATAACGTTCATGAATGAAATTTGTGCTCACCTTTCGGAAGTTCAATTCGTCCACATAGACAAGTTTATCAATAAGTATGAAGAGAATACTCATTAAAAGAATTATAAGCATTGGCACGAGTGATAGAATAAGTTGAGCCACTTGATGAGGCCAGATGCTCGAGAAGTGGTAGGCAGCGATAGCGACCGCTGCTGCTGAAATATCATCTTCATTCACTCATCTGTTTATCCATTCATAAAATCATCCAATCTATTCATTCATTCATCCATTCATTCATTCATTAATCCAATCATTCACTTGTTTCATCATTCTTTCACTCATCTATTAAGTCAGTCATTCAATCATTCATTTATTCATCTCTAAATTCGAATGCGCATTCTTATTTCTTAATTTCTTTATTTTGGAGTACTAACCGGCTAACGTCATTGCAGTAACCCCTATTCCGCGATGAGCCCAATTGAAGTATGGTCGACGAGGATGTGACGGATTACATCTAAATGTACTTTCGATGAGTTTTTTAGTTCTGAAACTTCTAATCGCTGTATCAAAGCTCACCTCATTGCACTAACAAATGGTTGAATCCAAGCT